CTGCTCACTGATCTAATTATGTCGGCTGTCGCAGACTCGCTGGACGTACATAGGACATAGGTCGTACATAGTGTCGTAGGACTTGTAACCAGCAGTTAGGACTCGGGACCTATTATGTAGCATTCAGTCAGTCAATCCTCACTCCTCAGGGGCGTTAGCCGTCAGGCCCTCAGAGGCTTAGGGCCTCAGCCCTCAGTCCTCACTATCTCAGCCTCACTATCTCAGGCCCTCAACACTCAGCCTCTCAGGCCGTCTTACAGTAATAAAGTTCTGGCCTCATGCCTCACACAGCCAGTAACAATTTACACAACAAGTCCTAAAGTCTTAAGACTGGTGTATTGATATCACTCCGCTGTGGCCTGTGACGCTGTCAAGTTATTGTCAATCAAACACATTGCAGCTTGGCCTGCTCCAGTGCTCCTGCTGCATTTCACTGCAAACTGCGTCATGTATTTTTTATTTTTTTACTTGATTTTTGTTTTTGTTTTTTTGGTTTGTTTTGAAAAATATAACAAAGCGTTGCATAAAATAATATGTTTGTTTTTTTAATAGAGAGAGATATATATATATATATATATTATTTTGCATAGCCCTCGAAATATTGTGAATGTTTTTCGTTTTATTGTAAAAAATGGTAAAGCAACTTTTTTATATATAAAACAAATATTGTTGTAGTATGTATATCTAAATAAATAAATTTTGATTTTATAAATATCAACACGACTGATGACAGTCGACAGTTCGACACTACATGACAAATATTATTTATTTATATATTTTTTAGACAAAATATTTATGTATCTAAATATAGTAGTTTTGTTTTGTTTTGTTTTTACATAAAAATTACAAGAATATACTGTATTTTCACATCAAGAATATTTTCTTGGTTGACAAATAACTGCAACAGTCAGTGGAGGTCTATAGGTTGTGATAATTAAACTCTCCTCATTATCGTCTTGAGTTGGTGACCGAACACACAATAGTGATCGAACGTACAATTATTAGCACTCTTCCAATAAAACTGAACCATAATCGATACCATGTTCCATCTATTACACAAATGGTGGATGCTTTGGGACTATAAAGTGAGCTCCACAATGGTCGATCACTTCACACACTCATTCTTGGAGACAGTGAAGTAAACTGAAGATATCAACATGAAATTATTCCGCAATACGCTACTACTTGCCACCGCTGTGGTGATGGCGATGGCCGCTTCTTCTTCGTCCATGATGGAGATGTGTTCTGAATCCAACAACAATGGCAAGTGCCATCGCATGAGCAAGGATATTGACACTAAACGGCACTGCAACCTAAGTGGCAGTGACAAGTGTTCAACTTCACACTGTTGCATGGATAGACATGGGGACGACGATGATGATGATGATGATGATGATGATCACAAGATGATGTGCTCCAGCGATAATAACCAAGGCAAGTGCAAGGTTATGGGCATGAAGGTAGATAAGCACAGACACTGCTTCCGGTATGGTGATGATAAGTGTGCCAGCTCACACTGCTGCATGGATCATGATGATGACGAGGAGGAAAAGATGATGTGCAATAAGGATAATAACCAAGACAAATGTAAGAGCTTGGGTAAGATGATTGACGAGCACATGCACTGCTTCAGATACGGCGATGACAAGTGTGCCAGTTCTCACTGCTGCAAGGATCACGATGACAGCAAGGACCATGACAAGCATGAGAAGGATCATGGCATGAAGCACGAGAAGGACCATGACATGGAGCATGAGAAGGACCATGACAT